TGAAGGATTTTGGTGTCTCGCCTTTACGGCTTCCGGGCGCTCCAAGACGGCCCAACATCGCCCAAGAGGCTTTCAACAGGCCCCAAGACGGCCCAAGAGGGCCCCAAGACGGCCCAAGAGGCCTCCAAGACGCCCCAAGAGGCCCCCAAGAGGCCCCCAAGATGGCTTCCGTAGCCATTTTGGCTCAAGGAGCCCGTTGGTGGTACCTCTATGGCTCAGCTTGTTTCTCGCGGAGATGCCCGTTGCCCATGAGCACAGGCAAAAAAGAACATGGAGGTCGAAGACATCCGAAGCAAACATTGAGTTGAGTCGCATTCTTGGCGAAGGAAACGTCAAGAACGTTGGAAAAGCGTGGCTTGCGGTTTTCCAGACCCATGTAGACGTCAAGGGAAAATCAGGGAACGCGCGCGAAATCCAAGAGAAGAAGCATCGGATGATGAACGCGCTAGAGGTATGTCTCAGAGCAGGCATGTTAGCTTGCCCCCATGACGCCACGTTTCCAGTTCGTTATGTCATGGTGCGTAACTCTTTTTTGGTGTCTGGAGAATGGTGCCACGAACATATCAGATTCAGGCGCGCATGTTCCGCGCCGTGCTCGGGGCAGCATTTCATCGAGGTGAACCAGAAAGATGTCAAACGGGCGCTTCGCGCTCAGGAGTTACACTTCTCGCCCATAGAAGCGTTGCTTGGAAACCACGTGCGGCAGTGGTCCATATGGCATCTGTCTGTTTGTGGTCGTTTGCAGGATACGCCCTTCCCGCACATGGTGTTCTCATACATTGGGTTTCATTCAGTGGTCAAGCTCCACACTTTCTCGAAAGATGATGGCCTTGTCATAGACGAGGTGATGCACACGCGCGAGTCCACATTCAGGACGGTGACCATGCTGGAGACTGCTTGGGATTATTTGCCTTGCGCATGTCACGTGAATCCACCAGATCATGGCCCATTAAGCATAGACGATGTGCCGTTTAAGTATTTTGTGAATCCTAGGCGACTGATGGACTTGGAAGATACCGGGCCTGGGCCCATGTTGGTCGCTCTCGCCAGACAGTCGAACGGGATGCTGAAGATGTACTACATGTATGGGTGCGGCGGGAGTTGTGCTGAACATCGGTGGGTCCTGACTTGCGATGGAATCTGTGGTAATTCAAAGAAGGATCTGGGCTCTTGTAAACGGCGTTTTTTTCAATATGCAGGCGCAGAGGTACAAGTGCTCATTCCAAGTGGGTCCACTTGTTGTCCAGACTGGCGCGAATATGCAGTTCAGGATCCGCGCACGCTGGATGCCACACGGGTGCAGTTACACGGTCTGACGCAGGCAGAGCCCGAGGGTCCCTGCATGCAGCGTGGCCTCTCGCTCACCAACATCCCTCCGCGTCAGATGTCGGCCACGCTGGACGCTGCAGCAGATGATGCAACGCTTCCATAATTCGACCAAATGCACGCTCCTCGCTTGATAGTATCCGGACAGTGTTGAGCAATTTTGCGACCGCTAGTTGGCTGCTTGAGTGGCTCTTGCGATGGGCATCTCCAGCGATTCTGATGTTTTCTGCTGCCTGGCCACGTGCATCGGGGGGTCGCACGGCATCCCCGAAGCGTGGCTAGGAGTGTGCAGTGTCTGTGGCGAGCCGCCTGAATAGGAACAGAAAAAAAAAGAGGCCCCCAAGATGGCTCCAACAGGTGGTCCAGACGTGGGACCCGAACGGATCTTTCCAGCTCTCGGCCCCCTCTGGGGCCCCAAGAGGCCCCAACAGGCCCCCAAGAGCCAAAGAGGCCCCAAGAGGCCCCCAAGAGGCCCCCAAGGAGGCCCTCAGGAGGCCCCAGGAGGCCACCAAGAGGCCCCCACGAGGCCTCCAAGAGGTTCCTAGTGGCCCCAGGGGGTCCCCCAAATACTGCCAAGAGGCCCCCTAGAGGTTTCCCAAGGACCTCAAGAGGCCTCCTGCTACCCTCCCCAAGCATGTTCAACTCGTATGCAGACGGACCCAGAATCCCGCAACATTCGTCGTAGAGCTGGCGGAAGGAGTCCAACATCCTCGCAAACAGCAGCGCGCCCGCCTGGAAATTCCAACATAGCCGCAAACGGACCCCAAACAAGCACTCGAGTGGTCCAACAGCGGAATTTCATGGGTAAGAAGCCCAACTCCAAGGGTATGTCACATACCCATGACGGCCCCCAACCAAGCCCCCAAAAAACAATTGCACAGGAACTGCTTCGCCTCCAACACTGCTGGCGTAACGCCGCTGGATAACGACCACCGCCCAGCAGCGCAACATGGGCAACGAACGCGTGGACAACAGCCAGCGATGTCACATTAGGCGCCGGCGGAATGATCGAAGCGATTACATATGAGACTGGTTCAATGTGTGTCAGGTACGTGTTGTCCGCCTTCGGTTTCTGTCGTGCAGAGTTTGACCGATTCAGGGCTTGGCCGTAGACGTCATGCTTGGTCGAAGGTGTGGCGTGTGAGTTTCTGCAGTCTCTGTGTTTGCTCGTCTGGTTTTTGGCCTGTTCGGGGCTTGGCCCTGTACGGAATGGTTCGGTCAGGATTTGTCGTGCACGGTCTGGCCGCCTCGCTGGCGGCGACAAGAACGGACGCGGAACGAACGATGCTTGTCTCGGGCACGCGCATCTGTCGCAACTTACTGGGCATGCTGGTCTCGGGGGCGCGCACCTGCCGTGGCGCTCCAGGCCGGCTGGCCTCGGGAGCGCGCATCTGTTGCAATTTGTTTGTGTAGTTCTTGTTGCTTCTTCCTTGCCGCCGTTCTCACCACCCACCAAACCACCCCAACCCAACCCGAAGGTCTCGATTTCCCCTCCATTTCCAGTTGGGGGGGGTCGGGGAACATCGAGAAAACACATATGGAACCCGTATCCCCTTCAACCCGAAATTCGGGTCTTCGGGTTGGGTTGGGGTGGTCTGGTAGGTAGTCATTCTCCTCCTCCCCTCCTGATCGGCGGCATCCTGGAGGTCTCGGGACCGTCGGGGGGTCTCGGGGCCACCGCGGCTCGGGTGCTGTCAGGAGTGGTCCCGGCCCAGGGTGCCCCCAGCGTTGTGCGCCTTGCGTGGGGGGCTCCGGGGGCCCTCCAGGTCTGGTGAAGGTTGCTCTGGAGGCCATTTGTCGAGTAGGGGGATCGACTGCAGAATCGATCTACCCCAGAGTTCGTTGCCCACGTCGAATCTGCGACGAATGCGGCGAGTTTCTGCAGATCTGCCGGGGATTCTCAGTCTTTGTCCCCGTGGGCTCGACGAGAAACTTCTTCCTGGGGGGAGCCAATCCTGCAGCCGATCCCCTGCTCGAGTCTCGGCCTCCTCGGGCAGCCTGGGACCCCTCCCCTGGGCCAGGTCGGACACCGGAACGTATACACTACCAGTGGCGGGCGGTTTCTTGAATCCCAGGACTTTTGGAGGCTCGGGGACGACGCTGGGGTGGTGTGTTGCATACTTTTTCCCCCGATTTCCCGGGGAAGCAGCGACACATGTATACAGCAGGATCCCGCATACACGAGAATCCGCATTCTTGTGCGAATTTCAGCGCAGGGTCGGGAAACGCGTCGGTGTATATCTAGGTCTCCTAGATGGGGTCGGAGTAGATCGGGTCGGAGGATCGCGCCGCATCGCCGATGCATCGGCGATGCGGCTCGATGCGGAGTCCGTGTTTCCCCACGCGGACGTCGCCGATGCATCGCCGACGTCGCCGATGCATATGCCGGTGCATCGCCGATACATCGCCGATGCATCGCCGATGCATCGGCGATGCGGC